TTTGTGGGGTTTTTTTCATCCAATATTTGGTTTCTTCCCATTTCGCCGACTGCTTAATCAAAGGGAATCCAATGGAACTGTGGATTGTTGGATGCCCTGTTCAAAATTTGCAAGGTCTTCTCCTTACTATGTTAAGTGCTATGAAAAAAAAACATATTTGGTGAATTGGTGTTATATAAATGAAATTGAATTGAAAAATTGAAGTGAATTGAGTGCAGCTCAACTGTACAGCTGCTATCTTTTTTTTTTTTTTTTTTATTGATGCAAATACACCACCGCCGCATGTCTCCACCTTCACAGCCGAGTCCTGCACTGGGTCGGTGCTCGCCAGCAGCGCTGCTGGAAAACATCCTGGAGGAAACACTGATGTGGTTGGTGATGATGGTGGTAAAACATGTAGATCCTGTCGTCTGCAAGCGGAGGGCATCTCATGTAGTTTGCTACTTTTTCACATTGTTGAACAAATAAGCCTTTTTTTTTAAAAAATGAAATGAAAACCTACTTATACATGTGCCTCTGACTACCTTATGCAGCATCTTGTTTTATCACATAGGCTGTCGTGAACCCCTTTTCTTAATTTATGTGGAAAGGTATATAACGATGGTAGACTGGTGACCTGTCCAGGGTGTCCCCGGAATTCATCCTGAGTCAGCTGGGATAGACTCCAACCCCCCACGACCCTAGTGAGGATTAAGTGTTGTATAGATAATGGATGGATGGATGGATGGATGGATGGATGGATGGATGGATATAACGATTCTCGGGGTCTAAGATGCAGAAGTGTCTTAAACCTGCCTTCTTTCCATCTGCCAGCAGGAGGCGACTCGTCTGTCTGCGAAAAGAAATTCGATTGGACCTATTTATTGTACATAATATATTTCTCCCCTGATTTGTTACTTCACTAAACATTTGCTAATGAGTTTATGGTGTCAGTGACTGGTTTCAAGACATTTTGAATGAAGCATGAAGTACATTTTGTAAATTATGGTGACATTTAGAATAACATAGACAGTAACACAAGATGTGTTTAATGGTGGACTACCTTTAATATGTAAAACCAGTGGAGTTCCACTTTTCCCGTCCTCATCTAGGACACCATTACTTCAAGATTTGAAGCCATCCTTATACTTGCAAAAATAAATACATAACATATCTGAAGCCTGACATGCTAAAGTAATATGGTTAAACTAATAAATATTAAGCCTTTGTCTTAGCAACATGGTGTTAGCATTTAGCCAGGCATAGCTGTGCCTTGCATAGTGTGGTTGGAGACTGCGTTGTGCTATAAAAATCACCAGATCACAGCCGCAGTCGCATCAAACAGCCAACTCAGAAACAAGGTTATTCTCAGTTTAACATGTGAGGACTCAATCCTCACATTACCTGCTCTCTATAACTTGTATGACTGTCTGCCGTGGCGCCTCTGTTCACCGCTTCGCCGTGAAGTGTTGATAATTCAGCGTAAGAAGGCCACATCTTTATGTACCGCGAGTCTGCCTTTATTAATGAACTGGTGCAACACCCCTGTCAGGTCACAGTTTAGAGTGTGAGAAACGTTCTCCGTGCTTTGCGTTTAAAGTTTCTTTTTTATCACCTTGGACTATAGTAGGAGGGATTCCCATTCCACTTTTAATAGAAGTTGAACACTGTGCAATAAATTCACCTTCAAGCCAAAGCAGACAAGAGAAAGCTTCAGACATAGTTGAAGTGTGGAGGCCACAGGCAGTGATCACATCACATGTGATCAGATATGAATTTTCATTTCAATGCTGGAGGTAAACGGGGTGAAACTGCAGCTATGCCTCTGACTAACCTTACATCAATACAGCAGCGGCCCATTCTATGCTTGAGAATTGTTGGAAAATTGAATGGTGAATAGAAGTGTTTCTCGCTGCACAGGATCCGATGAAAGAGTACAACTGCCTCCAATCCAAATTCACAAAACCCTTTGATGTTTGTTAGAATAATTTTATGCCTACTTCTCATTTTTCATTTTATGCTTGCTTTTGAATTTTGATTGTGACTACAGGCACTTTTCAATTGATATGCATTATGAACTCTGTAATAATTCAAAGGCCTTTGTTGAGGAACAAACATGTCATTTGTACTCAAAATGAATTTTACGACTTATTGTGTAACTGCACACCTTTAGCGAGTTCAGAGAAAGTGGCTGGCAGGTGGTTATTGTCTGCCAGATTTGTACTTTCAGAATCGCGGTGGAAGTTTTTCGGCGGGTTGAAATTAAATGTCTTCTTGTCGTGTTTGTTGGTGTGTTTTTTTGCAGTGTACTTGTCTGTTCTTGTATTTACATTCACGCCTCAGCAGCCATGCTATGGCATGTGTTTGTGCACGCGTTATGTGTCTGTGTGTGTATATTTATGGATGCATGATTGCCTGCTCAAATTTGGCGTTTGGTGGCTTGTTCCTTCGAGGGATGGCGAAACTTGAGAGGCCGCCTAAAATACTGTGTGGTAATTGGAATTGCTTTATCTTCAGTCTCATCAATTAATGTGCAATTTTCCATTTAATCACTAACACGCTCACTGCATTTGCAATTAAAATGAGGACTGATAACAGAGAAGATGCCTTTCAGCTGATACCAGTTGGAATGAGAACAGAAACCAGAAGACGCAATCAGTACACAAAATGACTTGCAGAGACATGCGCATGGCACACAGACAAGTGTGAACACACGCAGCGCAAACAGTCATGCTCATATACTGCTGCACTGAATACATACACATTCATGCACGGCAGACACAAGAACAGCATGACGTGATAAAACATGCAGATTTGCAGCTAAAACCCCAAATTAGAAATCAAACCACCATTTAACATCAGAATTGTTGGCAGCAGCGGCGGATTCAGATGCCACTCAAACAGAGAAGGGTCTCAGCCAGTTGTCTTGTCTCTGACTTTTCCATTCGGAGACATTGCCAGGGTCCGGGTCTCACTGGGCGATGAGCTCATTGGCGGGAAACGTCTGTCATGTATTGTCCCGATTCAGAGGGAAGAGAAGAGACGTTCCTTCCTGTCTGGCAGCAGCAGTAACCTAAAAAAGAACAACTCCAAAAAAGTGGTTTTATTTGAGCAGCGCACAGGAGGCTATAGGAGGACTATCAGCTGGAGCTTTATTGTGCTGGAAGCAGGAGTGCTGCGTAATACTGCTGTGAAAGTGCTCATTATTACCTAAATTAAACACACAATGCTAATAATGTTCTTTTAAGATTCCTACTTAGTGTTCTCGTTGTATTTTCTGTGCTGGTGTATGGTGCTCTTTGTGTTGTATAGTCAAGGTCTTTGTCTGACATTGTTGTGAAGTGTGTTGTACAGACGCAGCACGGCTGGTGTTCTTTTACCTTGTGAGTCTGTGTTTGTGTGTCATCATGATAAAATTTGGTTCTGGACACACAGACTGCACTCCCATGCCTCTATGGAAATGCACTTAGTCAACTGTGGTTGATCAAATGTCACAATCAGTTATTAAGCATTAATGAATAACATCATTCACTCAAACACGTCTCATTTTTTTCAACCACAAGAAGTAACTTCACTGTGTGCGGACAGATTTTCATCAAAATGAAGGTTAAAAGATGGGTGTGGTCTGACCCATGAATACTGCATACGTGATCCCGTCGCTAGATGGTTTCTAGTTATAGTTCTTCTTCATCAGGCCGTAACCTCACAGGCACATACTGCAAATCCTCAGCTTTAGCGGTCAGGCGGATTTACTGCTCATTTTTATTTCTTGAGGCGGTAGCTCTGAACGGATGTTGCAACTGGTGCAGAGATTTTGCTCAGATGTTCCAGTTCCATTTCACTAGCTTATAATCAAGCACTTTCCTCCAGGTCAATACCATTCAGTCCAAGTGCACCAGTCCATTGTAATTGCTGCCTGCCTTTCATGGCCACACAAGGCTTTATGTGGCATTATAAGGCATTTTTCCAATAACTGCAGCAGCTCCAGGTATCCAGCGAACGCTTGGACTTTAAACACTGATGCGGACCATCAAATCAACATTTCTTTAAAGCACCAAATTGAACTCTGTATGTCTGTAACAATCAATTTGTGAGATCACAGCTTGAGATATATTTTTTTTTTTAAAATGGGTAAAAAAAAACTAAATATAACCAAAGGTTTAATAAAGTTTACCCTCACATTGATCAAAACAGTTTTCTTTTCACCTTTTAGGTCACACTTATGGGGGATTTTCATGCAATAAATACACATAGGTTATATGTAGCTTCAGGAGGGAGATCCAGCTGTGCTTGTCTATACTAAGTTGGAGTATTGGTAGGGGGTCTGTGTGTGTGTGTGTGTGTGCGAGTGTGTGTGTGTAATGTACCCCCGAACCAATTAGCTCCTTCGGTGGGGGTGGGGGTGGTGGTTACAGCGGAGTTCCACAGGGTATGGCCCTCAGCCCTGTGGGGTCCCGGCCAATAGCAATTAGCCCACCAACAAGAGCCCTAATTAGCCTTCTTGATTGGCTTGGTTACAGCGCAACAACAACAGCAGCAGCAGCCAACACATAGAGACGACCAAGGTGACTCCACCACGATGCATTGCTTTAAAGCCATCTGCAATTAGTAAACAAGCATAGCTGTCTGTAATTGGTAAACAAGTAGTCGGGTTTGTTTGTGGTGTCATTATGAACCTGCTGCTATGTAAAGTATTTCTGAAAGGGCTCCATGATTGAGTTTGTGCTGCATTGTTTTCTTTCTGCTTGGTAGCCTTGTTAGATCACTCAGTATTAATACATCATCTTGACTGTTCTGTCAGCTCTATGCAACACATGCAGAGGCAGACTGTGGGGAGATAGAGCAAAGAAATAAATTAGTAAGTGGAGACGGGGAGAAGAAGAGCGAGATGATGTGTGTGAGAATGCCATCTCCTATTATTTAATCATAGCAGCACCTGGTGGCTGCTGCTGTAATAGAATTTACAATCACTGCTTGCACTGGGTTTATGTTTCTTTCTTTTTTTTTTTTTTTTTTGTTTTGTTCCTGTGTGTTTCCCAGTCTCAATGTGAAGCTGTCCCATGATGCAACATGTGTCCCCAGCACCTGCAGTGACAATGATGGCCACCCAGAGTGTTCCTCCACCATCGTACCAGGAGAGCCAACAGGTGAGGGTCATCCACCCAACAAGGCCGACGGGGTCTGACTCAAGCATTATTTAAAAAAAAAAAAAAATCAGTAATGGCTTGAAGTGAACGAGGCTCAGATGGAAAACGACGATCCACCAATCAGTAATTAGAAATCTCCAGATACACACCAGAATCTGATGATAGTTGGTGAAAGCAGATCAGCTTTAAGTGTTCAGGCTGATACATAATAGACAATACTTTCCCCTCGATACCTTAATCTCGATTGTTGCTCATTTTATCATAATTAAGAACTAAAAAAATATTGGAAGACTGTATATTTTTACAGCCCTCACTCAGAATTAGTACATCATATCATAGTGAAGTCTACGAATGTTTAATGAGAGCTGAGAAATGACACATAAACGACAGGGATCCTGTGGGAGACTTATTATATATTACAGTGACACAGAAACAGAAAAAGTGAAAATTCCCTTTTTTTTACTCGCTTATTCTCAATATGCAGAAACGTATTGAACCACGAAGCACTGACAAGACATCAGCAGCAGATCATTTAGGTCCAAACAGTTGGAGCCACCTGGGATCAGGTTGTGCCACCTAGAACCCAGAGAGGTTTACCTCCCTGCCTGACCTTCTGTGAACAAGCTGTTAGAAGTAAATCCAATTTGGAGTGGTGGTCCTATGTAAAAAAAAAATACACCGTGAGCACCGGGGACGAATATAGCAGACGCACATCTATTGTAATTAAAGGTGGTGTCTATGAAAGGTTGTTGATATTTATCTAGTTAGCATAAATTCAGATGGGTAACCTGGTTTACTGTCCTTGTAGTTTCTCTCTCCCCTCACTTCCCTCCTGTCACTATTACAGTGTTGTCCGAACCACTTCATTTGTTTCCCATTTGCAGAGCCAGGGCTGAGCACAAACACCAGATTTGTGATCAGCACACACACAGAACAGACAGCTAGTGGGCAGTGGGAAAATACTCTTATATAATGTAATATTCGAATCCAATATTGTATTGTGTTATAGGATATAGAAATAGAATATAGAAATTCTGATTTCACCTTGAGCCATGTCTTAGAGATGCAACAATTCAGTTTGAAATCATGTTTATTAGCAATCTGGAAAATGTGAAAATGATAAAAAAAAAAAAAGCTATACTGTTTTTTTTAGAGCTGTTAAGGAGATCCAGGGTCTCCCATATTATCAACAGAAAATTAAACTTCCATCCATCCATCCATCATCTATACACCGCTTAATCCTCACTAGGGTCGCGGGGGGGGCTGGAGTCTATCCCAGCTGACTTAGGGTGAAGGCAGGAGACACCCTGGACAGGTCACCAGTCTATCACAGGGCCACGAAAATTATATGCATTATAATACAATATAAAGAAGATTACTATTATTGTATTGACATGAAAGGTGACGATGGCTAACAGCAAGTAGCACACACACATAATATTATATAATGTAACAGGAACACTGTCGTGTTGCCTAACCGCCATATGGTGCAGTAGTTTTATTATAAACCAACTACTCATCATGTCTTAAGAGATTTATCAAAAGATCTTCCATGAGTTTGAATTGCGCGCTATAACTAAGACACGAGTGCAAGAGTGATACACGGTGTACGTCAAAGTGTGAGAATACGAGGTCGAGCCCCGGCCTGCTGCCAACAGGTCAGTGGAACTGATGTCCCCTAAGCGTGCCATGCCCCACGTTTTTGTCCAACAACCATCCAGTGTAGGCGAAGTGAAGTAGGTTCGTCTGACCACCGAAACCTTCTCCTCGTCCAACGCCACCTCTGTCAGCTTTCGCCCAGAGGATTAGTGCCAGGGGAAAGCTCCCGAGCTGCAGCCTGCGCACTCGGCAAATGCAAATGAGAGCTAGTTAAGTGTGAAGAAGCTAATTTATTTCCCATTTGGTGCTGGGATTAAGACTTGAAGCTTCCTCCCACCCCACCCTGACTCCAAAAAAAAACGAAGGGGGTTGGGGGTTGTTAGACTCATTTCCAGAGAGAGAATGAATGAGAGAGAGGAAAGCGTGGTAAACGAGGAAGAAGAAGACGATGAATTGTGTTCATAAAGCATGTCACTCTCCTGCCCACCCCGCAGCACAAATAACCCCCAACACAAGTGAAGAGATTCTTTAATGATTTCATTATGAAGTGCTGGTGTTGCTGTGGTTCGTCACGGCCACAAAAAAAAAAAAAGGCAGTACGTATGATACAACACTACGCACATCTAAGAACAAGTCAGACAGCTGCGAACACGTTGACTGGTTCGGTTTCTTATTACAAATTGAATATTTATCATTTAACAGCAATCTGTATGTGACCTGTGTGTGGCTTGTTCAATTACTGAATCTATCCTAACTCATTCATTTTACTTAACAGCTTCATTACAAGACGACTGACCTGTCAAGCAACAATGATTCATTCCAGCTACATCCTCATTTGCAGTCCGACAGAGGCGGATGCATGTTGCACCTTATTGCTTTTGAAAAGTGATTAAAAAAAATTACTTAGACCTCACTAGCAGCTGTGCGAACGCAACAAGAAAAGGTTTTCACACGGCTGATAAAGCCGCTTTTGTACTCGTGTGATGTTTAAATTTGGCTCGATTGACGTTGTGTTTAGTTTTCAGGTAGCTAAAAATGACACAGTTAAAATGATTAAAAACTCATTTATTTGTATGTATTTCAGTCAAACATAACAAGATCTATTATGAAGTCATTCTCCCACTTTGACAGTCCACAGTGACACATCAGAACAACCACGGGATGAATGAAATGTTGTACAGATGCTCTTTAGTATCTGCTCAGCCCTACATATTTCCTCTGGTGCCACTGTGAGGTTAATGTACAGCATCACGGAGCTGCTTGCATTGCTGTGGATAAAACATCCGTGTACTTAAACCACTCTAATAGAACACCGCTGGATGGCAAAAATAAAAAATAGAATTGAAATCTTAAAGGAATTTTGTGATTGCTTTGTGTCGCCAGATGACGGGGACGACTCAACAGAACGCCAAGACCCCACAGGTCCACATCCCAGCAGCCTCTGCAGCAGGAAATACCTCTGTCAGTGTGACCCTTGACCCCCAGGCCCAGCTTGAGTCTGACAAGAGAGCCGTTTACAGGTTGGTTTAATCTCCCTTAAGAGCCATTGTGTGGTCTGTGACGTCTGTTTTCAGTGAACGATGCACGAATCCTAAAATACTAAACATACACCAGCAGTAAAACAAAATGTTGTTTTTTCAACTTTTTTCTACCTATATGACTACATTTTTGCCACATTATGGCAGTTTGCACTATTCCGGCCTTGAATTTCCCTTCACTTGTTCTTCGAAAACACCATCGCCGTCTCTCTGCAGCCCCCATGCTGGCTTTAAGAAACTGTGCTAAATTGACTTGATGTACTACTTGCCGACGAAGGCCACAGGCACTGCTGTTGTTTTTAATATGTTCTCTTAAACTAACCATGACCTAAAAGCTTTTGAAATTGTACTCGAAGGGTGCTTCCTTCAATTTTCACTTAGTGTCATTCATAAACCAAGGAGCACCTTCAGTAAATGCTTTCACTCATCAAAGGCGGCTCGGTTTCCACTTCTTTGAATTTAATAAATTGACTTTCAAATAAACATTTGATAAAGCAGCACTAGTCTGCACAAAGGTATAGGCTCCGTCCTCTTGTGATTATTAGACCGAACCAATGGAGGAATGTTTTAAGTTGCAACCACCCGGAAGAGCAAAAGAACAGCAGAAGAAAGGACAAAAAAAAAAAAACACAATTAAAACCAGTTAAAATGTTAATGCTGTTAAAAGTGACGTATTAAATTTTACTGGACAGCCACATTTGTTTTGTGTTACATTTCAGCTTGACTCCGGACCAAATTTTTAAAACACAATTTATTTCTCTTTCACGCCAACAGTCATTTTCTAAGGTAAGCATCACTCTTCAGACGGTGGAGGGCTCATGCTGGAATCACGCCGCTAGTTTGCAAGTAGATGTTGGTTTACTTAAAGTCACAGTAATCTCCTGAAAACTTTCCTCCTAATTTGCTAGAAATTAGCTGATGTTCAGCCTCCATATTAGGAGGATGTTTGGAGGAAAGTTAGAGGTATTGGGTGGATTCTTCCTCACTTTACATTATGGTGTTAGATATTCATTCATTGTTCTGTTGGTTAAAGGGCTGATGATTAACAAACTCAGCAGTTATACGTACCAACATAAGCCCTGCTAATTTCAATAAATCAAACCTACAACATTCAGTGTTTTAATTTCACGTTTCAGTAATTATAAATTTTTGATCATCTTTTCCAGAACCTTCCGTGGGTATCGATTTTGGTTCATGAAATATTCTTCACTTACCTAATACATAATTCCTAGATTTTCAGGAGGAAAAAAAAAAGTGTTTTTTTTTTTTCTTTTAGAATTCTAAATGTTATTGTGGCATCTTCTGGCTGTGGATCCTGTCATGGCAGGACAGCAGTGATGGAGTATGTGCCTTCACCTTTAGGCTACTGGGGCACCCATCACTTCCCTTATTATTACTACCAAACTTTTGGAGGCCTTGCTTAGAAATATTTGTGTAAAAGGAAAGTTTAAAAAAGAAAAAAAAATATTAAACTAGTGTTCTGAAGTTAATTTCAAAACTCATGGGATGATTTTAAACTTTTAATAATTCTGAGTGCAGCACATTTATGAGGCTGTAGAGGAACTTACTGTATGTGTAGAACCATTTTTACAGTGTAGGAAATTAACTGGAACATACAGGATCCATAAAATAAAGATTTACCAGTCAACAAAATCTAAACCATATGCTAATGAAAGCATTTTTTCCCTCCCAATAATCCTTTACCATTTATAAAACTATTAGTGCGTCTCCTGTTGTGTACGTGGTTTGAATAACCCACATTTATTAGTCATCTGCACCAACTTCTATTGAGATATTAATTATCATTAAGTCCTCTGTTGTGAAATGTTGTCTGACGCTAAAATGTAGAGAATCTTTTTCCTTTTTTTTCCTTCTCTGTCCTCCTTATTTTAGAATGTTTACATATCACCCTACGGACAGTTGTTCCAAATTTCATGCTTATTATTTATCGTGAAGAAGCCCTCGAAGGCAATACCTTGTTAGGTGTACAAAATAATAAGAAAATCACTACTGGGTGAAACCCAAAACACCAGTAAAAAAAAAAAAAAAAACACACCTCCCTCCTCTATCAGCTCATCACTAGAATATTGATGCACCCCTATAATGAGCTTGTATTATCTATTTATGAAGTAAATTATTCAAAATATACAGACATTTTTAATCGAGCTGGGCAATTTCCTGGTGTAGGCAGCACACCAACAGCGGACTAGATTTGTTGAATGAGTCGGGGCTGCCCTGCCACGGCTCGTCCTGCCACGGTGACACTGCAGACTGTGTGAGGCCGTCTGTCCCGGCTCCTGGGGTCCCACCCGCGGGTATCCGCCACTGCTGTCTGAGGAGGTGCAGGCGCCCACACTCAGACCTGAGGCGAGCCACTGTAAAGTCCTTAGCAGCTCCTCTGAGATACAAGGCTGCCTTTGATGTGAGCAGCCATGTTTGGAGCAGCTCCGGGTGGTGGTGGTGGTGGTGGTGGTGTCTGCTCCTCTTCCACTCTCAAATGGGTTTTTTGGATCTCCATTTTCTTCTTCTTCTTCTTTCTCCAGACCACACACACAGGATTAGCTTGTGGTAGAAACAATGCACAGTACAATGCGTGTAGCAATAACATATAGACTTTATTTATTTATACGTTTATTTAAATGTGGTCTCGGCTATCCAGCTCTCTTGTTTTCCAGGGAGAATACATTAATGCTAATAATGTTAATGTCCTCTATAGGAGCTGGGATCTGTGGAGCCATTCTTGGGTGTGTTAATTAATGTAAAACAGTTTCTAACATGCACAGCAGAAGCAGAAGGTGCAAATGTACACTGTGAGTGACTCACTAGTTGTACTGCCTAAGTCAGTGCAGGACAAAAGCTCTATCCAAAGTGGGGAGAAACACCACCAAAGCAAAGTCATTCATTTAATGAATTGTTTGTGTGACCTTAATAGAAAAGTGAAAATGACAATTTATGGCAACGATAGCCAAATTCATTTTCTAGCTAATATTCTGTGTTGTCTTTTTGATTTGTTTTACCCTTTGTTGAATATTACTGCTCTAACAACTGGGTTTCCCTCTGAGATTAATAAATCAGTCTAAGTCTAAATAACAGCCTGCTGGTGAGCCAGAGAAAACATTGGGCCCAGATGGAAGAATCTAAACTTTTGCATTTTTTTTTCCAAATAAACTGGAACTATAGTAATAGAAAAAAATGGGCTTTAATATACCAGTAAACCTGAGCTTGAGTTATCTACTAATAATCTACTAATAATTGTAATCCACGTAGCAAGAGATCCAAGACTTTACATATTTAGCTGTAACAGATTTATGTCTCCCAAACCCAAATGAGTGGTGGTCCAACAGAAATATGTTGTGTGGTGATCACATTATTTTCCAAGGCACCGATGACAATATCAGGAAGCAAGCTGTGGACAACTTATCAATTGAATCTCTCGACATAATGAGGTCTAACAATATACATGTCAATGGTGTAATTGACATCTGCATTCAGAACCAGTCTTAACAAGATGTTTTTCTGTTGCTCATAACTGAACAGCATGAGAGAGAAAAGGTCCGAAGTTAGATTTAACTGCCAAACTCTCAAGTCCTTGATTGATATAAGTGAATACCACATTGCTCCCGATGTTCAGTCCAGTACTTCACAGCTTGCTGCTTAGGATTCAAGCATTCAAAGTTTTGTCATCTTATGTACAAAGTGCCATGTAGGAAGTACAGAAAAATAACACTTAAATGCTTCTCCAGAACATAATAAGTGCTTTGTGATACCTAACGTGATGTAGAACAACATTTATGCAAGGAAAGACATTCATCACATCGCCATGATAAACACCCAATCATTTGTCTCTCAGTGTTTGTATTTACAGGTAAATTACGAAGTGCTTTGGATAGAGGTGCGTTTATGCCGTCCATTCTATTTACCAACACCTGTGCAGTCTATTGCGCAGATAATAAAAAGCATAAGGCTAATGCTGGTCATTTCCCTAATATTTTGCTTCCCTCATATGTTTTAATGGGGTGGACCAGATACGACCAGTTCATTAGTGTATTGCAGTCCTGTACACCACCACCACCACCACCTAATGACCTTAATGAGCAGAACGTAGAACATTTCTGACAGTGTCAGAGGTAGGGGTCATCTGGCATTTACTGTACTGCATTTTACAAAAGTTGAGAGCCTTACAAGAGATGCATCTGAACAAAATGGTGGACAAATATGCAGCAGAAATATCCTGACTTTTCAAGGCACCAAAACTAATGGATCCCCCTATTGGGAAGAATGGACTTTACCTTGTAAACAACCACATGCTTCAACATCACTCCTCACCAGGACTCTGGCTTAATATCATTAAGTGGAACAAAGTTCAGTTTTGAACGTCTGCTAAGCAACCCTTTAACCAATAGCAGCCTGTGTATGATTTTGTTTTACAGGCAGAGGCTGTGGATGATCTGTGTCTTCATGTGATACAACAATAGCACTGGGATAAAGGATTAAATAAGATGGAAACTCAGAGTACTTACCAGTTAAATGGTGCTATGAAGAATATAAAATGAGTCCGTTAATGTGTATGATGGCCAGTTAAAAATGCTGTGATTAACAGCGTCAGAGGCAGCACGGAGGATTCACCAGCATGTGCTGTTAAAATATGATTATCTAGCTCCTAAATGAAGTCCTTGCTGTTCAGTATTCACCGGAGAGAGTTCAGATTAGAATTTTCGGAAGGATTTTTTTTGTCTATGCAAGAAGCTAATGACTAAACGCACCTTGTTACCTTGTTATAAACACAATTAAATTTGACTTCACTTCCGTCTCCCACAGTGAGTCAAATTATGCAAAAAGACACAAATAGCACTCTTATTTTAATAGAAGTCTGATCCGCCAGTCTTTCTGTCTCTGCGCACTGCTCATATGGGGGCTGTAGACTTTGAAAAGAGAAAAGCACTGAGAATCAGCATCTCTGCCATTTTTTCTTTAATTATTTTTGCTCAGGAAGTCTGTGTAGGCTTTAATGTTTCTTTTCACTAATTGCTGGAATTCCAACTTTATGAGGAGATGTGTGGTTTCCTCTCTCCCTCTCTCTGTCTCTCTGCCTACTTTGTTATTAGCAGCGGAGTAAATGTGTGATAGGGTAATTAGCCTAATGAGTTGTGGCATTTACTATAAAGATCCTTCTGGATTTTCTGCATCTTATTAAAAAGCGGGTAAGGCTTTTGTTTTTCAGGTTGCGGATGTAGCGTTCATGGCTGATGGAGGCTGATTCGGCTCAGGGATGGAAACATGCGCTTAATTGAAAGAGACATCATAATAGTCCTTTCTGCTTTAAACAGAAATGTCCTTGTGATTCTCAGAAACAACCCGCGTAGACGAACTGTGTTTACCAGAACGCGCTTGTTTTAAGGTGACACTTTTATGGGTTCGCTTGGCTTAACAGCTCTTTTGCTTTGCATGTAGAGAACTTACAGTAGGGCATCAATGATACACAGTGTGCTTTTCAGAAGAGTTCACAGACTGTGTCATACATCTGCCGTGTAAGAGACACGTTTGCTGCATGTCTTCGCCCTACACGTTAAATCAGAAAGAGGCTGTTCATCAAACATACGGTGCCTTGCTCAGCTGAAAAAAAAAGCATTTCTTCATGATAGGTAACACATTTTATTTGCATCAGAAAGTGGGAGAAAATGGGAGCAAAATTGGATTTATTCTGTGTTTTGACAGCGGTGGGATCCTTTTTACAAAGATGCCAGTGTTGCAGTGCCGAGCCCTGTATGGTGCATATTATCATTCAC